AAGCGCTCACTACCGGTCCTGACTTTCTCACGACGCGAGCATGTCTGGGGTTGCGCTAAGGAGCCGAACTCTACACACAAACACTGTTTCTGGCCCCGGACTGGAATTCACACAGGAAGCCGGATCCTGGTGTCTACGGGCTCCTGGTGTACACATGTTTCGTTTCTTCCTCTGGAAAAGAAGGGGGCAACAAGTGTACACCACACCCCCCTGACGTTCTCCCCATACCCTCAACAAGTCCTGGAATGGAGAGACAGCCCGCCCTTCGGGGGCGCGCAACCATGGATTAGCGATCCATGGATTTGGCGCGCGGTCGCCTAATCCATGGATCGGGGGAGGTGCCCTCCCCCAAATGCGGCCGGTGCCGCCTCGCTCGGCGGCTGAAATCCGCGATTCCCCATGGCAACGGGACCCGTCGCTAATATCCACGCGCCCCCTTGATCCGCGTTTGCGATCGCCCGAGCCCTGGCCCCGCCACTATAGCTCGCCATCGCTCGGACGTCCATGTTTTGTGTTTTTTTTTCGGTGTCGTGCGTGGTTTTTTCGCCAAATGGCCAAGGATGCTCCTCGATGGTCCTCGCCGAAGGAAAAATGCACACGTCCGAGCGATGCCAAGCTCGCTCGGACGTCCATTTTTTGTGTTTTTTTCGGTTTCGTGCGTGGTTTTTTCGCCAAATGGCCAAGGATGCTCCTCAATGGTCCTCGCCGGAGGAAAAATGCACACGTCCGAGCGATGCCAAGGGTTCGGATTTCGCCACGTGCTCGACGAACTTCAGAACCCTCCCCCCGCTCGGTCGCCCAGATCGTCGTTCGGCGAGGGTAGGGCTCAGATCTCGCCGCCCTGTCTTGGGGCCCCTGGCGCCCTCGGGGCCTGTTGAGGGGGCTCCCTGGAGGCCGTGAGGGTCTCCTTGGAAATCCTTGCGACACCTCGGGAGGAGGAGGAGGAGGAGGAGGAGGAGGAGGAGGAGGAAAAATGCACACTTCCGAGCGATGCCAAGCTAGCTCTTCGGTCCTCCCCCGGCTCGCCCTGCGGCTCCGCGGCCGCCCGCCCCGCGGGGCCCGCGCCCGCCGCGCCCGGGCCCGCCGCGCCCGCCTCCTCCAGCTCCCGCTCGGCCTCCGGCTCCCGCTCGGCCTCCTCCTCTCCTCCCCCTCCTCCTCCTCCTCCTCTCCTCCTCCTCCCTCCTCCTCCTCCTCCTCCTCCTCCTCCTCCTCACTCCGCCTCCTCCTCCCCTCATCCCCTCCTCCCCCTCCTCCTCCTCCCACTCCTCCTCCTCCTCCTCCTCCTCCTCCTCCTCCTCCTCCTCCTCATCCTCCTCCCCCTCCTCCTACTCCTCGCCTCCTCCTCCTCCTCCTCACTCCTCCCTCCTCCTCCTCCTCCTCCTCCTCCTCCTCCTCCTCCTCCTCCTCCTCCTCCTCCTCCCTCCTCCTCCTCCTCCTCCTCCCCTCCTCCTCCCCCTCCCCCTCCTCCCTCTCCCCTCCTCCTGCCTCCTCCTCCTCCTCTTTCCTCCTCCTCCTCCTCCTCCTCCTCCTCCTCCTTCTCCCCTCGCGCTCGGCCTCCGGCAGGGGCGACAGCCCCCGGGCGACCGCGAGGCTGCCCAGCGGCAGCTTCGCCTGGAGGGGCGCGGGCTAAAACGACGCGAAGGTCGGGACAAGATCGGGTCGGGATAGCTCGAAATCTCTGAGGATCGGCGGTCTGGAGGATGTATTGGGCGCCGCGGCCGCTCCAGAGCGTTCGGGAACGCTCTGAGAGCGCTCCGGAACGCTCTGGAGCGATTTATCCGATCCTAGCCCTGTTTTACGGGCAGTGACCTGCCGCGGGCTCGTGCCGTGTTGGCCCCGGCGCTGGCTTCCGACGCCGCGGGCAGCGCCCAGCCTTGCAGGATCGGCAGTTTGCCAAGCGTGCAGTCGTTCAGCGTCGCTGCATGTTCGGTCGCCGGCGGCGTGCAACCCGGAACGCCCGCGCTGGGGGTCGCCACTGGTCGACACGACGCGAACCTACCGTAAGCACAACAGAAACTCAGAGCTCCGCGCGGATTTCTCGGATCGGCGCTGGAGCCCCCGCTCCCTGGCGCGCGGAGCGCGCCAGGGGCGGCGCCAGAGGCGCCGCCAGCAGGCTCCAGCGCGGAAGTCTTGGATCGGCAGAATTCTCGGAGCGGCGCTTAGTCCCCCTGGCGGCGCCTCTGGCGCGCTCCGCGCGCCAGGGAAGGGGCTCCCTCCGCGCGGAGCTCCGAGTTTTGATGTTTACTTAACTCTTTGCTTCCCAAATGGCCAGCACGGGCTTCCCAGCATCCCTCGGCGACATCCGGGGCGTGCCCAGCGTCTGCCGGGGGGTGGCTGGCCCCTGCCTGGGAGTGGCAACGCGGTTCTGCGTGGCGATCCACGAGTGGAGCTCGTCGATCGCCACCTCGACCCTTCGCTCAAGAGCGGTCATCTTCTCCTGCTGTGAGGCAGAGGCGTCGGGCTCAGCAGCAGGGCGCGCCAAGGCCAAGGGGGGCACCTGCGCCGGTGCTCCGCAGTCCTCGCGCGGCAGCTTACCATCGCTCGGACGTCCATTTCCCGTGCATTTGTCGGTCTCGTGCGTGTTTTTTGGGCTCGATGGTCCAGGCTGTTCCTCGATGGCTCTCGCCGAGAAGAAAGATGCACACGTCCGAGCGATGCCAAGGCAGGGTGCTGAAAGTGACTACCTACCAGACCACCCCAACCCAACCCGAAGACCCGAATTTGACCCGAATTTCGGGTTGGGTAGGGTACGGATACCATGTGTTTTTCCAACGTTCCCCGACCCCCCCCCACTGGAAATGGAGGGCAAATTGGGGCCTTCGGGTTGGGTTGGGGTGGTTTGGTGGGCAGGGTGCCGAAAGGAAAAGGCAGCACAAGCACAACCTCTCGACGGGCCGCGCGGACTTCTCGGATCTGCGCCGGACCCCTCTCCGTGGCGCGCGGAGCGCGCCAGGGGGCGGCACCGGAGGCGCCGCCGGGGGCGGCCCAGCGCGGATCCAAGGCACCTGCTTTTGTTTGGGTCGCGGCCGCGAGCGAAGAGCGCAGGCGGCGAACAGGGTGTCCGGGACGACGGGCAAGCCTAATTAGCTACTCCAAAGCACCTGCGCGGAACGTCGAACGTATGTTTATACCGTCTTCTCTTCGTCGAGCACTGGCACCGCGCTCCGTCGCCATCGCTCGGACGTCCCTTCCCCGTGTTTTTTGTTCGGTTTCGTGCGAGGTGTTTTTTCGCCAAATGATCAAGGATGCTCCTCGATGGTCCTCGCCGGAGGCAAAATGCACACGTCCGAGCGATGCCAAGCTCCTGGGAAGCCGCCATCCGCGCACTGAGCTCCGCGATGCTCTGCTCGATGGCGACGAGCCTGCCTTCCTGCTCGGGCGGGGGGGCGCCCTCCGCCCGCTCGGGCGCCGCCGCCGGGGCCAGGGGCGCCGGGAAGGAGCTGCCCTTGCCGTCCATCCTGAGCTGCATGTCGTCGAGCTTCTCTTCGAGGCTGGATATCTTGTCCTCCTGGACGACGCTGGTGAACTGGGCGATCTCGTTCAGGCGATTCTCCTCCCTCCTGAGCCTCTTCTGCAGGTCTTTGATGTCGGCCACGTGGGACGTCTGCACCTTGTGGCTGTCTTTTTTCCCCCGGGTAACGGTCGCTACCCAGGGGGGGGGGGGGCGGGCGGGAGGGCAACGGTAACGGCGGCCGCGGCGTGCGTGCACCCGCCAAGGTGCATCCGCGCCAGCGGCGCATCAATCGCCCGTGTGCACCACAGCATGATGTTGGGGGGGGGGTCCAGGCCCCCCCCACAATACGAAAATTCGCGTTGCCTGGGTCGGGCATGTCCCCGTACAGGCGGATTTGGGGGGAAAACAAAAATATCAAACAAATGTTCAGAAAAATTGCCACAAGTGGTAGAACAATGGTTCCCAGACTAGTTTTTGACTATTTTTGAATATTCCCCCTGTAGAGGGGCAGGCCCGACTTAAGGTTACCCCTGGGGCGGAGAAACAAAAAAGCGCTCGCCTTCTCGAGGGCCTCGATGCGCATGCCGAACGTCGTGCCCTGGGCCTGCAGGTCCCCCTGGTCGGCCTCCAGCATGCCCAGCTGCCCGTGCACCGCCGCCTCGGCGGCCCCCTGCGCCGCCTCGAGGCCCTCCAGGCGGCGGACCGCCGCCTGCAGCCCCTCCTGCTGGGGGGGGGGGGCGCAAATCGGGCGTTGGCAGAACTGGGTTTAGCGGGACCTGGCTTGGTGATGTGCACTGGGGGACGACCCCCCCCGCCCCATTCCACGAACCGGAACTGCCGTCACCCGAAAAAACACCAGCTGCGGCAGACCTGGTTTAGTGATTCTGGCAAATGCAGGGGCTCCGGGGCCCTACTACTACCCGGGTCCCCTTACCTGGGGTCCTGGCTATGCCCGAGGAAAGGGGAGGACAGAAAGGGGCGGGACAGAGAGCCAGCTCCCGACAGAAGAGGGCAGGGCAGGGCAGACAAAAACGGGCAGGGTGGAAAAACAAAAAGACGGACAGGAGAGCAGGGCAGGGCAGCAAAAGGGCAGGAAAGGGCAGGGTGGGGACAGAAAAAAAGGCAAGCAGATCTTCCTGGCGCCTCCTGCGCGCCTCCTGGCGCCCGTGCATCCGAGGAGTGGGCCCGGCGGCGGGGCGGAAGCCGGCTGCCTGCAGCAGCATGCGTATAGCCCCCCCCGTGCCCCCCCCTTTCGTCCGGGCCGATCCTGCAGCCTCGCCAGCTGCTCCTCCATCTGCTTACACAGGAGAAGAAAAAACGGCATCCTCCAGATTTCGTCATCAAAGGGACCCTCCAAGACTCAGGAGCGAAAGAAGGACGTACATGTACATGAATCCACGCTGGTTTCGAGAGTACGCATTGCGCAAATGTTCGTATAACGCGGCCGGTCTCGCGGATCGAGGGGCCGTGTTCATGTACATAGCTGGGCGCGTACGTCCTTTGTGGGCTCCCTAAAGACAAGCCATTTCAGACCTCCCCCGCGGGAGAACCCTCCAAAACATCGTCCCCAGACCCCCCCAGGCCCTCCAAGATGGCCTGGAAAAGACCTCCCCCGAAATGAGACCCCCCTCCCTTTACTACGAAATCTGGAGTAAACATCAGAACTTTCGGAGCTCTGCGCGGATTCCCTGGATCGGCGCTGGGTCCTACTCCCTGGCGCGCGGAGCGCGCCAGGGGGACCCAGCGCCGATCCAAGACATCCGCGCGGAGCTCTAGGAATCGATGCTTATTCATTTTTTCTTCTTCGTGTATCGGCTCGCGGATCGGGTGGCATTGAGCCAGAAGCACTCGAGCCCGAGCGGCGAACGGCTGTAGGCGATGATCTCAATTTCCATGATCGTGGCTAGGGTGTTGGCGGTTGAGCCGGTGTCCACCAACAACTCGGAGCATCAAAAGATGGGCTCGAAATTCCTGGGCACGATTCCGTGCTCCAAATGGTGGCTAGCGGGGCGAGGGTCCTGCGTTGACCATGTGCAAAACTCCAGTCACCATGCACAGTACACAAGTGATGGTTATCACTGTTTGGGCAGCTTGCAACTGCGCAGGCAGACGCCATGACCACCATCGCGATAGTCACCAAATCGCTCATTCGGAGAAGAGCGTCGGACTGGGCCGCACCGGCACGGGGTCGACATCGAATCGAATCGGCCGCGCCAGGATGTACAGCGCGCCAGGCAAACATCGGATCCGAGATCAAGCTCGCGTCGGATCGATCGCATCGTCACCGACCCCGCTCCCCCCTCTCTCTCTCTCTCGTTCTCGCGGCCGCGTAGGGGCGCCGCCGTGGCCCAAATTTCGCACTCGGGGGAAACCCAAAAGGTACCGACACCGCTACTCCCCGGACCTCTCCCGGGGCGCGTCCTGACCAGGATTTCGGGGCGAATCCAGCGGAGGCGACGAGGGCCTCCCAAGGGGGCCCCGAAAAGGGGGAACACGGGGGAAGTGCGGCGGCATGGGTACCTCTTCCTCCGCTGACACTCTGCCTTCCGCGACTCCGACGCGAGGAGCGTGGGGCATGGCGCCCTCTGGCGCCGTCGGTCGTGAGCTGACCTCGGGACCTTGCCTCCCGCAGGAAAGGGCGCCAACGATACACCCGCACCGACCCTGCCAAGAGGCCCATCCCGGGCCTGGGATCGGTGCGCACGCCCTCCTGGCTCCTCCTGGCTCCTCCTCCTCCTCCTCCTCCTCCTCCTCCTCCTCCTCCCTCTCTCTCTCTCTCTCTCTCTCCCTCCCTCCCTCCCTCCCTCCCTCCCTCCCTTCCTCCCTCCTCCTCCTCTTCCTCCTCCTCTTCCTCTTCCATTCCTTCTCTCCTTCTCCTTTCCTTATAAATAGCTCCCCCCTGTCGCACCCCGAGGCCAGTTTTTAGGGCGGGCCAGGCGTTTCGCCTGAGACTTCCTCACCATTTACGACTCTAAAGCTTTAAACGCGACAACAGTTTCACAGATGGAGGGCGGGCCGTTTTCGACATGTGGCTCTCGCCTTAGCGCCGCGCAAATTCGTCTTAAACATTTGCAAGAGCTTCACGGATTGAGGGCGGGCCGTTTTCAAAATGTGGCTCTCGCCTTAGCGCCCCGCGCATTCGTGTTTAAACAAGTGCAAACAGTTTCACGGATTGAGGGCGGGCCGTTTTCAAAATGTGGCTCTCGCCTTCGCGCCGCGCGCATTCGTCTTAAACATGTGCAAGCGCTTCACGGATTGAGGGCGGGTGGTTTTCCACGTGTGGCTCTCGCTTTAGCGCCGCGCACATTCGTTTTAACAAATTGCAAGAGTTTGACGGATTGCGGACGGGCCGTTTTCAAAATGTGGCTATCGCATTAGCGCCGCGCAAATTCGTCAAGAGCTTCACGGATTCCCATGATCAGCGCACCAGAAATTATGTCGTGGAAGGATTCAGGATTGTGCGGGCGCATCAGTTATGTTGTTTCGCTGTGGAAGTCCCACAACTGGTGTTCCGGCACGATTCTGGACCGTCAAGACGCAGCAGTCAGGTTGATACGTGGCGTGGTACGCTTCAGGATCTTCGAACTGTTGTCCTCCAACGAAGCAGTTCCCTCAATGGACATGAACTGTTGCAGGAGCCTGTGAAGAGGGAGCTTGGAGGGAGGGTTAATTCCAACATCGTTGATGACTCTTGGGTTTCCACTGGTCCTCCTTCCTCCTCTTCCTCCTCCTCTTCCTCCTCCTCCTCCTCCTCCCTCTCCCTCCTCCTTCTCCTCCCTCTCCCTCTCTCTCCTCCTCCTCCTCCTCCTCCTCCTCCTCTCCTCCTCCTCCTCCTCCTCCCCTCCTCCTCCTCCTCCCTCCTCCTCCTCCCTCCTCCTCCTCCTCCTCCTCCTCCTCCTCCCCTCCTCCTCCTCCTCCTCCTCCTCCTCCTCCTCCTCCTCCCTCTCCCTCCTCCCCTCCTCCCTCCTCCTCCTCCTCCTCCTCCTCCTCTCCTCCTCCTTCCTCCTCCTCTCCTCTCCTCCTCCTCCTCCTCCTCCTCTCCCTCTCCCTCTCCTCCTCCTCCTCCTCCTCCTCCTCCTCCCCTCCTCCTCCTCCTCCTCCTCCTCCTCCCTCTCCCTCCTCCTCCTCCTCCTCCTCCTCCTCCTCCTCCTCTTCCTCCTCCTCCTCCTCCTGGGGAAACCACGAAACACCGATACTGCTACTACCCAGACCTTTCCCGGGGGTGCACTCTGACTCGACTTTCGAGGCGAATCCGGCATTGGCGACGAGGGCCTCTCAGGAGGCCCAAAGCTGCGAACACGAGGGAAGGGTAGCGGTGTGGGTACCTTCTCCTTCTCTTGAGGCTTGGCGCGGAGGGCGCAAGCACCCATCCTGGCTCATCGGATCGACCCGGCCAGCATCGGTGCAGGTGCATCTAGCTGGCGCCGCCTTCCGCCCTCCTGCGACTCGGACGTCTATTCCCTGTGCATGTTTCGGTTTCCTGCGTGCCTTCTCCGCAGGATGATTCAAGATGCTCTTCGATGGTCCTCGCCGAGAATAAGACGAAGCCAAGACGAGGATAATACCGGTTGAGGATTAATCGAGAATCAATGAGATCCAGTGGCTTTGGGAACGCTCCGAGAGTGTTCCGGAACTCTCTGGAATGGACTTATCCTCGTCCTGGCAGCAGAAAATCCCACAATCGAATCGCTAAATTGGATCTGCGATCTACATCAATCGGATCGGCTGAAATTGGCAGCCGAGTCGGGAAAAAGTCGAATCGGCGGAAATCGGAAGGCCAGAAGGGCTCCATTGAGAAATCGGAATCTGAATCGGAAGCCTAAGTCGAATCGAGCTGGAACCGGAGCCCCTCGAACTCGAATCGCACCGCATCGGAGGCATCGACAAATTCGCCCCGGCCTGGCCCCATCCGACGATGGCCACCGCCGAGAAAAAAAGTACACCCGTCCGAGCGATGCCAAGGCCTGCAAGGGAGGCCCTGGCCACACGCGAAGCCGCTTCGTGAACGCACTCAAAGAAGGAATCGAACAGGGCAAGGCTTTTTTGTAAATGCCCAGGGCTGTCCAGAGGCCTCCAAGATGGGGTCCAAGTGGATGGGGTGGGAAGATCGCGCCGCATCGCCGATGCATCGGCGATACATCGAGGATGCACCGGCGATGCATCGACGACGTCGGCGATGCATCCGCGACGTCGGCGTGGGAAACACGGGCTCCACATCCAGCCGCATCGCCGATGCAGCGGCGATGCGGCGCGATCCTCCGACCCCATCTACTTGGACCCCATCTAGGAGGCCTACACGTCGTTAATTTCAAATTGTGCTCATTTCTAAATGTGCTCGTTTCTACTTGTTCCTGGCCCCCCAGTGGCCATGAATAGGTCCAGGATAGAACAATTCGAAATGAAAACATCTTGCCCCCCTAGAAAATCAAAAGAATTTTGGACGAATTAGGAATGAACAGTGTGTAGATTTCTCTAAACGCCAATTACCGGGTCAAGGTCGTGTTCCCGCCCTTGAGAGAGGGCACCCGCCCCGGGCGGCTCCAAGGCGCTGGCCGCCGAGCCACGTCACGTCCTCCACGCCTGGGCGAGGCGGGGCGGCATCCTCGCGGGCCGGGGGGGGGGGAGGGGGAAGGGGCGCAGGAGGAGGAGAGCACGGGGCGAAGGGGATGAGGTGGATAACGAAGAGGGAGGCGGAGAGGACCACGAGAGGACCACGAGAGGGAGGAGGAGAAGGAGGAGGAGGAGGAGGAGGAGGAGGAGGAGGAGGTGGTGGTGCTCAGTAGGGGGCGCTCGAGTCTCGATCTCTTGCTCAGAGCCCCTTCTGCCATATATATATATATATATATATGCATGGCCGCCTGGGCGTCAGGCCGTCAAGGCCTGGGGCGAGCGCCGCGCCTCTCGGGCGGGGGCGCAGCCCCGCGGGGTGGGACCCGCTCTAGTGCCGCTGGCTGCTGGAAACAAGCACGAACTGCATTTGGCAAAGGGGTGAGGCTCTGTGACTGCCCCTGCAGCAAGGTGAACCAGAAGGGTGAGGCTCTGTGGCTGCCCCTGCAGCAGGGTGAACCAGAAGGGGGTCCCCCTGGTCGCTCTAGAGCCCCCCCAGGCGCCAGTGGACGCGCAGCGTGCCAATCTGCGCCAGCGGGCCTTCCAGCAACCAGGGCGACTCTGGCTTCCCCCCACCTAGGGCGCGTCGAGAAACTCGAGAGGCTGCGTTGACTATCTATCTATTCACAAGGCTATGCCGAGCAATGCTTTCGCGTGCTCGTTGCCCCCCTTGCACCATTCTGGTGAGAGCGGTCTGTCTAGGGTCTTGAGAATCTG